ACTCTTTTAAAGAAAAATAAAAAAGAAATCTTGGGGGTTGTGGCAGGAAAAAGACTGGAGAGTTTGGAGGCAGGAAGTCCCTCACAGGGCAGTGCACGGACAGAGTGTCTGCATTTTTATCTTTTACACAGCCCCTGTGGACTGCAAGTACTTTACTGCTCTTAAATTCTTTAAGGCTGCGAGACTGCACATTTACCTGCAAGTAAGCTCTTGAGAGTCCCTTGGACTGCAAGACGATCAAATCAGTCAATCCTTAAAGAAATCAACCCTGACTGTACCCTGGAAGGCCAGATAATGAAACTGAAGCTCACATACTTTGGCCACCCAATGAGAAGGGAGCACTCACTGGAGAAGACCCTGATGCTGGGAAAGATTGAAGGTCAAAGAAGACGGGGACGGCAAAGGATGAGATGGTTAGACAGTGTTATAGATGCAACGAACATGAAATTGAGCAAACATCAGAGGACGGCGGATGACAGGAGGGCCTGGCGGGAGCTGGTCCATGGGGTTGCGAAGAGTCTGACTCGACTGTGTGACTGAACAACAACAACAAAAGCTCCATGGAGCTGATTTAGGATTACTTCTGAGTAAACATGGTTAGGAGTGCATGGTAATTCTCCCAGGGATTTCACTGGGAGAGTTAAGCAGATGCTGTTTCCCTTTCAGGACAATGGGGATTTAAAAATGCTTAGCTTTGGATGGATTGTGTCTCTTACTATGCCACTTTTTGTGTGTGTGTATATATAACTTGCTAGATAATCTGGCCTGTGCAGATTTACTTCTTTCTAATTGTTTCATTGATTCCCATGGGCTTAGACACATAGGACTGAACTGTATATTATGTTAAATATAATAATGATGTTAGAAATATTAGTTTTTTTAAAAAAAACATTTAAAAATATGTAATGACAAAGCCACAATTTTATTTATTTATTTATTGAAAACATTTATTCTTCCTTACAGAGCTCAAGGCAGCTTCAAACATAGCTAAAACACATAAAATAAAATACGTAAAAACCTAAATTTAAAGTCACATTTCAGGACTGCTGGTAAACTTAACTCAATGCGGTCCTAAAGAAAACCATCTCCAGCTGCCTCCTAAAGATTACAAGCGAGGGGGTCAGGCAGGGCTCTTTTTGTAGAAAAAGCCCAGCAGGAACTTATTAGCATAATAGGCCACACCCAACAGCAGAAACTCATTAGCATATTAGGCCACCCCTCTGACAGCACAGCTCATTAGAGCATTTATTTATTTATTTATTTAGGTCGCACCCCCATGTTACCAGAAGTGTGGTCATCCAGCCACACCCACCTTTTGCTTGTTATTCTGTTGACCTTGTTTGTTGTCCAAACCCAGGGCTTTTTTGTAGCAGGAACTCCTTTGCACAGGAACGGAGTTCCGGCTGGCTCCCAAGTTGGCCACACCCAGCAGGAACTCATTAGCATAATAGGCCACACCCAACAGCAGAAACTCATTAGGATTGGCTACATTCGGGGTGTGTGGCCTAACATGCAAAGGAGTTCCTGCTACAAAAAATGGCCCTGGGTTTTGACAACAGACACAGTAAACAGAATAAGGAGCAAAAGGTGGGTGTGGCTGGATGACCACACTTCTGGTAACACGGGGTTGTGGCCTAATATGCTAATGAGCTGTGCTGTCAGGAGTGTGGCCTAATATGCTAATGAGTTTCTGCTGTTGGGTGTGACCTATTATGCTAATGAGTTCCTGCTGGGCTTTTTCTACAAAACCCCCCCTGAACACTGACACTGAACCTGAAACCATTTGACTAATGGCCTTACCCACCTGGGCTCTTTTCAAGGAAAATGGTATGTTGACAGCCACCAGAGCAAAGCCGTCATTGGCGCCCTCGAGGGGTCCAGTGGCAGCAGGGCTTGACTTTTGGAGCAGCGGCTTGCCGAAAGTCCTGCTGGCAACGTGTCTCATCTCTGGCCACTGCCTCCTTTCCCCAGCAGCCCCTGGGGCAGCGGGTTGTTGTGCAAGGCTCGGTTGGGCAAGAGTCGAGGGGATGCTCCGGCCTTGTCTTGGCAGCAGCGCTGGGCGCAGGCAGGCAGAACTATGCGCAGGCTTCTCAGCTCTTGCTCACGGAGCTCAGCGTGGCCTTCTCCGCCAAACAGCCCTGTGAGGTAGGTGAGGCCCAGGTGGGGAGGCGTCCTCCACCCAGCCTGGCTGGCCTCCCTCCTGTCCACCCTCCGCAGGCCAGCCAGGAGGAGAGGAGAGGATGGGGCTGCCGCTCCACATGGCTTGAAGCCGTGCGCTTCAGAAGGTGGGTGGGGAAGTGGTCGCAGTGCCTGGGTCCCTCTTAAGTCTCGGCCCGCCAGGAGCCGCCCCCTCCAGAGCAGAGTACGGGCAGTCACTGGCCTGTCGCCGCCACGCCACTCTGGGGTCTCCTCCGCACGTGGGAAGGGAGCTGCGGGGACACGACCAAGAGGCTTCGGTGGCTACATGTGTTTCTGGGAGGGAGGGAGGGAGGGAAAGCAGGCAGTTCTGCGCTTCTCTGAGGTCTGTGCCCTAGGCAGCCGCCTAGACTGGCCTAATGGTAGCACCGGCCCTGGTTCCCCCTCATCTGGCCCATTACTGACTCCAAGCACCAGTTCAGAAATCAACAGCAACCTCCGAATTAGATGGAAAAGGAAGGCAGAGCTGGGTATCGTCCACATATTGGTAGCACTGTAGTCCAAACCACCCGATGACCTCTCCTAGTGGCTTCAGGTAGATTTTTAATCTCTTGGAGAGTAAGATCAAGCCCTGAGGAATCCCACAGGCCAGCAGCTGTGGGGGCAGAGCAGGTATTCCCCAGCACCACTTCCTGAGAGCAGCCTCCCAGTTTGGACCTGAACCTCTGTAATACAGTGCCACTTAGTCCCAGCCACTGTAGGATGCCGTGGCTGCTAGTAGTGAAGAACTGCCGGAGTCACATTCCCCCTGTCTAGTTCTCAGTAGAGGTCGCCGCCCAAGGTGACCAAAGCAGTCTCTATTCCAAATCCTGGCCTGAAGCCAGGTTGAAACGGGTCCAGAAAATCAGCCTCTTCCAAGAGCCTCAGGAGGTGACAAGCAACAACCTACTCAGGTGCTTTGCCCAGGAATGGAAGATTGGAGACTGGACAAGGAGGGTTTCCCCCAAAAAAAAAACGGGTGGCACAACTCCTGCCATCAAGGAAGGATTTACCACTCCCCTTACCCACTTGGCCCCCCTCTGAAGACTATTATCAGCCAGGAAGGGCAAGGGCCCAGAGCACAGGTGGTAGGTCTCACCTCACCAAGGATCTTGTCCACATTCTTGGGCTCCACAAGCTGAGAGGTATCCATATAAACTGGACAAGCAGGTGCCAAAGGCAATGTTCCCTCTAAGCTGTGGGGTCTTGTGAGCAGAAAGTCTACTTTGTGAGCTACTAGCATTAAAGTTGTGAGTGAGCAGTTTGGCTACTGCATAAATCCGTTTGCTCGGGAGCCCTCCTTCCTGAGCTAAGACAAAAATGTGTGAGCTGGAGGCTAAAAAACTGTGAGCTGGCTCATGCTAGCTCAGCTTAGAGGGAACACTGGCCAAAGGTACATCATCTGAACATGTATCCACACCAGCGTTTAGCCCAGAACAGATCTGGGTGATTTTGTTTGGAAAGTAAGTAGCAAGTTGATCACAGCCAGCCACTGTGTGGTTGGGCTAGAGATGTAAAATTACCGGAAATCTTGAAGCTCGGGAAAAAAACCCAGGGTTTTTGGGAGGGAAATGGAAATTTTTGGGAAAATTGGAAAAAATGCTACATTAGCACTTCTTTTTTCTTTTCCAGATTGAAAGTCATTCTGTTACTTTAGGAACATAAAATATGACGATGGACAATTTTACTTGGCATGAAATTATCACAACTAGCATATTAAAAATATAGCATATCCAAAAAATTATTACAAACAGAATTTACTTTTAAAATAATATTTATTTGTAATTGTAACAAATGGTGCAGCAATCTCCCGAACTGTTTACTAGTTTATGTGGAACAGATTAAAAAAACCTCCACAAAACAATTTTTAAAAATCCAGAAGTAACAGTTACTCATATTTCCACTCCACAGTATTAAATAGCACCTCCTAAAGGAAGAAATGCATCTTGTTCTTGCATTGGACGGTTCAGTTTGTAACCTAGGACTTTCTTGTCCTCAGTGCACAGAAATTAGATTAATCTGATACCATGCATATTTTTTAGAAATGATTTGGAAAATATTTGAACACTTTGTCTTAAAAAATATTTTCTTCATCATGTTAAAATAAAATGTTCCATAATCAATTTTTTTTCTTTTCTTTTTTTCAATTTTACGGGGGGGGAAACAAAAAAGTATTCAAGAAAAAATGGGAAAAAAACATGGTTTTCCCCTGAATTTTTCCAGTTTTTTTCCGGGCCTTCACATCTCTAGGTTGGGCTAAGGTGTAACCCAACCGACACCCCCCACCCCCAGTCCTGTGGACTCCACACAAAACAGCACCCCAGGACAGTTACATGCAGACAAGATGGCGGCGGAGAAATATTGCCCTTTCTGTCTGCCTGGCATCCCCCCCCCTCTCCCCCTCCAGCCCCCACTTCTGTAAACACCCCTGAGCCCCGCACAAGCGGGGAAGGGTGGTCAAGAAATCTAATTTGACAAACAAACAAAATAATTTCTGCCCTCATCACCGCCACGGAATACGCTCTAATGTGGACAGTAGATTTAAGGTCAATCTGGCCTAGTTCTCACAGGTACGGTAAATCTGGGTCTGGACTGTCTCCTTTCAGATTCAAAAATGGAACCCTCTTTCATATTCAGAAAGAAACAACAGATAGAGAGAGCCCGTGTGGTGGAGTGGTTAGAGTGAAGGACGCAGATCTGGGAGACTTGGGTTCAAATTCGCACTCTACCATGGAAGCTTACTGGATTACCTTTTGTCCAGTCACACGCTGTCAGTCTAACCTACCTCGCAGGGCGGTTGTGAGAATAGAATGGAGGCGTAGGGAATGACGTAAGCCCCATTGTGGAGGAAAGTGGGGCACAAATGAAGTAAGTAAATAGAACGAACCCTTCTGCACATAGAAAGTGAGGTGTCATGAAGAAAAACTCCAGCACAGCCTTTTCCTTGGCATGCCAGACAGATCAAGATGGGCAGCCGTGTCAGCCTGTCTGTATCAGTTGAAAAGAGCCAGAGTCTAGGAGCACCTTAAAGGCTTAACACCTGAAGGATTCCATGCTCAAGGATTTCTGCGCAGATGTTGGTGCTGTTATGCCCCTGGAGGTCAAATAAAGGGGGGGGGACAAGCTGGAAGAGTTCGGGAGGGACTGAGTTGAATCAGCAGCTGTGGCAGTCCATTACATTTTATTACAAGTCCCCTGGAGACTATAAAATGACCAGAAACTCAGTGGTTTTGCTTTTCTGAAGCTATAAGATAGCGCTATGAAGAAAACCTGTTATTGGCTTTGTCTGTTGAATTTCTACCTGCTGCACAACCATTTAAATACCAGAAATTATTGTATGTATTAAATAGGAGGGGGGATTATGGTATAGTAGCGCTTATAGCGTGTCAGACTGGGACTGGGTAGATCCTTGGTTATGGGTGCCAAGTGCCTGGAACAAAATGTCTTGTCCCTGTAAGGTAAAGGTAAAGGTTCCCTTGCTTGAAACCCAGTCGAATCCGACTCTAGGGTTGCGGTGCTCATCTCCGTTTCCAAGCCAAAGAGCCAGCGCTGTCTGAAGATGTTTCCATGGTCATGTGGCCGGCATGACTAAACGCCAAGGCGCACGGAACGCTGTTACCTTCCCCCCGAAGTGGTACCTATTTATCTACTTGCAATTTCTTGCTTTCAAACTGCTAGGCTGGCAGGAGCTGGGGCCAGAGACGGGAGCTCACTCTGTCACGCAGCACTCGGGTCACGCAGCACTCGGGTCTCTTCCAGCCTGCAGTTCAGCATCTTAACCACTTGAGCCACCGCAGCTCCACCTTGTCCCTATAGTACAGGCTTAATAGGATCTTATTTACCTCCTTGCCACCAACAGCTTCAATGACTCATTTCCACATATAAGAAAGGGCAATTTTTAAATACTGTGTGTGTGGATTTTGTTAAGTGTGTCCAGTATTTATGTACTTGATCCGTTGTATCCAGTGTTTTTGTTGAAACATCTGTCAACCCTACCCACATCAAAAGTGCCTTTTCCAGCAGTGGGTGTTGGATTACACTGGCGTCATCTTTCAGGGTTTGGAGAAAACGGAGGGCCTTCAGAAAGCATGACAATAATGGCTTGTTCGCCTTTGAGAAAACATTATTTTCAATTACAAAGGGACCCCTAAACTTTGAGTGGGTTTATTTACTAACTAGGTGTTGTTTGTGTCCACCACTGGTCTCCTCCCCATTCAGTTTTGGGGAGAAGTAGGTTTTGGAGCAGGTCGGAAATGGCAGGTGTCTTTCCCAAGAGGCACGGGAGAGTGCTGGGTCTGGTCCAACGTTCCCTCTAAGCTGTTGAGTCTTGTGAGCAAAAATTCTACTTTGTGAGCTACTGGCATGAAAGCTGTGAGCGAGCGATTGGGCTGCTGCATAAATTAGTCTGCTCTGGAGTCATCCTTCCTGAGCTGAGACAAAGAAAGTGTGAGCCGGAGGCTAAAAAACTGAGCTGGCTCACACTAACTCAGCTTAGAGGGAACACTGGTCTGGTCTTCTCCAAACTCCCTGTGGAAAGTTAAAGACATTGCTTCTCTCGTACCAGGCCGACTTCGATTTGCAGAGGAGTCGGTGGAGAGGTGCTGGCCATGGTGGTGGAGGGGGAAGGGTGTTGCCACTGGAGAGGGGTCATCATCACCGGTGGCAACTGGGTTTGCAGAGTCCTGCCTGACTTGTGTATAAAGTTACTTGTCGTTTGTGAGGCGCACACGTATGCCAACCATTTGCTGGTCTGTGGGGATGTTCACCATCTTGAGGGGTGAGAGAAAATGGGCCTGGGGATTGATAGGAGGCTGTGTGGTAGGTATCAAGGACGGGTGGAAGAGATGAGGAACAGGAGAGGGAGAGGAAGGCCAAGGGTTGGAACGTCAAAGAGGAAGATTGCCCAAGAGGAGGGACACCCAGAGGCAGGCGTGGCGGTGGGGAAATTGGGTGTCGAGGCCATAGCAGCGGAAAGAATGCTGATATGGGGCCTTCAGCTAGTGAGAGAGGAAGGCCACGGGTTGGAAAGAAAGAGGAAGATTGCCCAAGAGGAGGAACACCCAGAGGCAGGCGTGGCTGTGGGGAAATTGGGTGTCGAGGCCATAGCGGCAGAAAAAATGCTGATATGGGGCCTTCAGCTAGTGAGGTTTTCCTCTAGTTCAGTGATGGCGAACCTTTTAGAGACCGAGTGCCCAAACTGCGACCCAAAACCCACTTATTTATCGCAAAGTGCCAACACGGCAATTTTACCTGAATACTGAGGTTTTACTTTAGAAAAAACAACTCATACATTAACTTAAGATGATCCAGACAAAGTAAGGAAAGCAATCCCAAATGCTTTCATTGACTTAAAATTATTTGGCAGAGAATTCGACACTTCAATGACGGTCTGGGCCTGGCTGGGGTGATGGCACGCGTGCCCACAGAGAGGGCTCTGAGTGCCACCTCTGGCACCCGTGCCATAGGTTCGCCACCACTGCTCTAGTTGAACTGAGTTTGGCAACTTTAATCCCAACAGAGTTGGGAAGGCACTGAAGAAGCAGGTAAGTCCCTTCCAGGTGGAGAAACAGCTGGATCGGGGCAAGGCTGCTGAATCGACTGCTCTCCCTCCCTGCTCATGGGCCTTTCCGTCTCCTTTTGCTCCTACAGAGGTGGTGATCAAAGTCCAGGTGTACGAGAATGGGGATCTGTCCCCGCTCCCTCAGGCTGCTGTGGAAGTGTACGGGAACCAGACCTCGCTGGCTTCGGGTGCCACAGACCACGAGGGGGTCAGTATGCTGCCCATCAACTACCGCCTGGGAACCTGGGTCCTCGTCACGGCCTCCAAGCGCGGCTTCATCACCAACTCCGTCCCTTGGCGCGTCAGCAAGCTGCCACGTGAGTTTGCAGGTCTCCACAGGGTCAGGGCAGGCTGAGGGCACGGGGGGGGGGGATCCTGACACGGCAGTCGCTTCGGAGGAGCTGGAAGACAAATAATTTACTCTTTAGCGAGAGTCGCTTCTGCTGCTGTCGGAGCATTCACGGTTTTGAATAACACACCATGCTTGAGTCTCAGGGGAGAGAGGAGGTGTAATGATTCCTTGTTTTATGAGAGTGTGTGTGCCTTTAAATGCTTGGTTGGAGTGCATGGTCAGTAGACTAGAGTGATTGAGAGAGACAAATGTGCCGTGATTGGTGGATGACAGAGTGTGGGTGGGGTTTTTGAAGTGAATCTGTGTGCGTGTGTCAGTTATGAAAAGTGACTTATGAAAGTCAGTTGGAATTGTTGGAATTGTTCAGTTGGTGTTCAGTCAGTGAGGGTTATTATAGTTCTCTGTGAGATCTCAAAGAGGGCAGTATATATGTTTTTAGCCCGAGTGGCTGACTCTAAAGGCAAGAGTGAATCCTGTTGATGTTGGAACTGAGTGTCAAACAAACAAAAGGAAAGGGAAAAAAGGCAGTGTGTGTGATACATTTGAACAACATATTTACAAGTCCCTTTATCCTAAACAGTTACAGAATAACCAACCTCATATTTTATTCTTAGTTCAATAAATCATCTTTTGTTTAAGTTATCCCAGAATTGAATTCAGCTCTTCCTCAGGACCCCATAGATCCCTGAAAAGCCTAGACCCTGGGTTACTTTACCAGAAAGAAGAACAGAGAGAAGGTTTGGAAATCCTTAAATTCCTGGTGGCAGCCGAATCTACCCAGTTTAATAAAGCAAAGAGCACATTTAAAGGGAAATCCAGTCCTCCCAAATAAGTGGACGCCACAGGAGGTCTCTTCTTATTTGCCAGCATAGTACAGTGGTTAATGTCAGGAGTGGGAGACCTAGGTTCGAATTCCCGCTTTGCCATGGATGCTTGCTGGGCAACTTTGGGCCAGTCACACACACTCAGCTGACCTACCTCATGGGGTTGTGAGGAAAAAATGGAGGCAAAGAAAATGATGTAAGCTGCTTTGGGTCCCCGGGCGGGGGGTGGGGAAGTGGGGTATAATTTAAGTAATTTAAAATAAATACTTCAATTGGTCGAAAGGGAAGATACCTGGTTGAGCAATATCCCTTTAATATCATTCTCCGCTTCCTTGACAGGTGAGAATTTCCTGAGAGAGCACTATGGGGTTTAATTTCCATTCAAGGAGAGAACAGGGGCTTCACAGGATCACACATGAAGGAGCACAAAGGCTGGGTCTGGGTTCCCCTTCCTGTGTCACCGTCAAATGTGACTTGCGGTTCCTCCTCGGTTCCCGTGTTTGAGACACATGATTTGAATCAGGATCATGGTGGGCATAGAGATGGGGCACACCATTTTCCTGACCTGACATGGTCCCAGCGGAAACTGGCCTGTTAGGGCGAGCCTGTGTGTCAGGTCAAAGACTGAGGACAACGCACAACTCATGTCTGACTGCTACACAAGATGGAGACCCCAAACCCTAACCCGTGAATCGGCCTTTACAGTCTCCTTGTAATAGTGTCACAAGACCAGTAAAATACGTTCCGAGATCTGACTTCCTACATAGCCTGTAACTGGACCCTCAGACACGCACCTCTTGTTTCCTCCACTCGAGTCCCCACTTTTCGAACACAGAGAGACATCCCGCTTATCGGGAGACTATTTCCTAAGTATTCAGTCTTCAAAATAGTAATGATCAGGGGTCATTTCCTGCAGGAGCGCACAGGAGTGGAGCTCCGGCAGTAAAGAGCCCAGGGGGCGGGCACATGCAGCAAGCCCTGCCCCCTGCTCCCATTAGCCCTGGGCCACAAGGAGCATGAGGATCTGTGTGTCCCCCCCCCAATAGCTAGCAATCCAAAACAGTCCAGTGGAGCCTGAGCAGTGGGTGTTGCCTTCTGACACACTTCCAGTGATGTCAGGGGGTGTGGCATGTGCAAATAAGTAATGCTAATGAGGTTTGCTAATGAGCTCCTGCACCTCTTTTTCTACAAAGAAGAAGAAGAAGATATTGGATTTATACCCCGCCCTTCACTACCCGAAGGTGTCTCAGAGCGGCTGACAAACTCCTTTCCCTTCCCCTCCCCACAACAGACACCCTGGGAGGTAGGCGGGGCTAAGAGAGCTCTTGACTGAAACGGCTCTTTTTCAAGAACAGCTCTTATCAGAACTACGGCTTGCCCAAGGTCATCCAGCCAGGTGCAAGTGGAGGCGTGGGGAATCACACCCGGTTCTCCCAGATTAGAGTCCGTGCACTTCACCACGACACCGAACTGCCTCTCTGGCTACGAAATGACCCCTGGTAATGATCATTGTGTTCTCTTATCTACCAGTTTTTCTAAGAAAGAGGATTGGTTGGTCAGCAGCTGTAACAATATTTTACCATCTTAAAAAAAGTTTTTTTTTCAAGTGATGATGGCAGGAACCCAGAATTTTAGGCTACCCAGCTAGGTTCCACTGAGGCCACAGATCCTGAGCTTCTTGTCAGGGGTGCAGGGTTGTTGTAACAGAACAAAGAGTTTGTCTAGAGAAGTTCAGGCCGCCATTCCCTTCACCAGCATGTGCTTGCCATTAAACCCTGACCTCCAAGATTAGGGAGGAAGGGCCTTTGTGGTAGGATGGTGTTCAATAGGTGAGTTGGAAGGAAGAGAATCCAAAACACAAAGCGCATGTGTACTCAGACTCACATTACAAAGCTGTAACAAGCATGAGTGAGACGGAAGAGGAGATTATTTTATGTCGAAGCTCAGCCCCCTTTAAAGACGGAGGATTTTAGGAAGCAAAACGTGTCGTGCTGTTGTGAAGACGGGCAGACTGCCTGGCAATCAGAACACGATTTTGTTCATTTGTGGCTGTAGGTAGCAGAGCATTTTGAAATGAATTGTTTCCAGGATAAGCGACCGGATTCCAGGAAAATGGGTGATTTTCATGGCTTATTATAATACTACAGAAGAGAGACCCCCCGAGGATTTAGAGGGAGGGGGAGCCGCCATTCTCTCCCCCTTCCCTTCTGGCTAGGATCTGACTGCCCCTGCCTAGCTGGCCAGTCACCCTGATTTTATTCCTCATCTCTTCCCATCCACACAATTGCAGATCTCCCCATCCCCCTCGACCATCTCTCCCGGTTTTTCTATCTCCTGGCCAAATGGCTACCTCTTTTTTATTTTTATTGTTGCATGGGTCAGGGGTGGTTGTAGATTTGGGTTTGTTGTTTTACGCCTATGCATGCACAGACATCACTGCCTCTGTTTTTGCTGTTGGTTTTTAAAAACAACAATGACAACACTGTTTTCAAGTTTTCATATCCTCGCTGCGGGTGCCCCACTTGTGAATGTTTTGATCTGCTAACGGGAACACTACCTGTCACTGTGAGAGACAGGGCTATTTTTGGACAGGAACGCTCAGGAACGGAGTTCCGGCTGGCTCCCAAGTTGGCCACGCCCAGCAGG